ATGGAGGTAGCTAATTTTGGACCCCAAACGTAACATAAGCTCACCCACGAATCTCCATTGGCCTTAGCTACGCTATATATATCAGCATCCACTATTTATAGAAATGCCATCCATGGTTAAAACGGCTGGCGATTGAGCAACTCATCAACGTAGGCCCGCAAAACATCATCTTCTTCTCTCCCAATCAAGTCCTAGCGAAGATATATTATGGCACTAATGGCCAAGATCCTCCTACTGATCATTGTTGCTATTACACTCACCGCAGAAGCAGCTCCAGACTCGGCGAAGCTCAAGAGGGCCTTCGATGGTGTCATGGCTGCTGCTCCACCAGGGAATGATTCCGAAGCCGCTGAAGCCGCCGTGATGGAGCAGCAACTTCAAATTCTAGCTGCTGTCGCTCTGGCAGAGAAAACAGGAGGTAAGGAGAAAGTTGTAAGCTTGACCGGTTCGTATGAGAAAGCTGCCGACCAGGTCATTGCGGCGCCACCAGCTGATAAGCTCAAAGTGATGAAGAAAGAATTCACCGCGGTAACAGATGCAGCATGAGTTCGTGCAGACATGCATCGACAAGGCATCTACAGTAATATATATATATATATATAAGTGCCACTGCTTGCCACCCACTACAGAAGAAATGCTAGGAATAAACCATGTGTTGCGCCACCTTTGTTATTTTTCTCTCCGTTTGTTTGGAGTTTGTACGTACGTGGGATCATAGTGGGAGACAGAGGCGTGCGATTCCGGCCAGTTCATGTTGTGTCCGCGTCAACACAGGCGCACATTTGTTTCTCATATTCCTTTTTTTGATTTATCATGCATTTTTCTATTCTTTTTTTGAAACATTCTTCATGCGCTACGTCGTTCTTGTTCATTGTTCATGGTCACTCCTTTAACATACACTGCAGTATATGTACTTGAGCTGCAAGAAGAAGAATAATAGCAACACTACGCCACAACAGGCAATCACTCGGAGCCACGGGGTATGCCGGGCCTGTTTGACCGGCTAGTTAATACTAGTATAATATACGTATTATACATCTGTTTTTTTATAAACAAAAGAAGAAGAAAAAAGTCACCTGGATCACGCCATCACGGAAGCACGAAGGCCTAGGATGCGGCGGCCCACGCAGCAAGAGTGGCTTCTCGTAGTATTCTAATCTTTGTCTCAATCGCCGATTGGGACATTTGGAGGCCAGAAGAAATCACCGAACAAACCGCCGCCACGACGCCCTGACAGCTGACGACGACGCCGTCCCGGTGAGGTGTGACGCTGTTACGGTGACCGGAGCTATCTGCCCTGCTGTCCCTCCACCGATCACTCGTCTTCGTCTACAGTTTGCACGGCTCCTTAGTCACGAAAACTCCCCGATTCGCTATCTCTCTTAGACAAAATTTAATATTTTACTCTTCGTCATTTTTAGAAAATTATTTATCGACTTTTGTAGCTATTCAACATCACAAATAACACATTGTTTAGTTATATAGCATTGTGTTTTTTTAATATTTGTGCAGTTATAAAGAGAAACTCGGATATTGCATCTTTTTTACATGATTGTCTAGTCACTTTCATTGGATGTGATATTTTCTTTGAAGTTGATGAGGATGGTATAATCAAGACATTCATGTCCCTTTGAAAGCATCGAATAAAATAGTCAGAAAAATAACATGGTAAGTCTCTAGTACTCTTTTATGTCTATACTTGAATTTATCGGCGTGGCTTTTGAATTTATATTGTATTTAGTAGATGGTTTCAACTTAATCCATAAATATAAGCCTTGTCGTGTTACTCAGTGCATGTATACCGAATCATATTATCAATTTTGCAATTATCACTGAATTGCTAAAACAGATTTATCAAATTGCATAATTTTTTTTAAGCGGCATACCCTTCGCTAAAATCCTGGATTCGCCATTGTTACTGCCCATGTAGCACTGCAGGGTGGTGCTGGAGCCGGCAGTGATTGCTTTTCCCTGCTGGTTCATAAGCCTAGGATCCAAAAATTTCTGGTAAAGCTACACACTATGTAGTGAAGGCACCTATCACTACCGGCTCAAACCACCACCCGACAGTGATATATCACTTCCCAGTCAATCCACAAATTGGTTGTGATTAGTGTAATAATATCACTACCAGCTTAGGTTATATCACTGTCGGGTCAAGGTACAACCCCGGTAGTCATATTTTTGTATCACTAACAGGTTTTATATTGACCAGATATATAGTGTTATCTGCCATTGGATCCGCCTAACATATCAATTGATCGACTATCCACCATTGGATATACCTATCACAACTAGTTCTAGTTATAGAACCAGCGTCCGGACGCCTCCACGGATAGAGGAGGTCCACTGCATGTGCTGGACACTAGTAGTTCCACAAATTGGTTCACCATTTGTGTCTAGTCTCAGTATCTGCTCTCTGTGGGAGAAAACTCTCCTCATACAGCTTTCGTTAGTAGTCAAGATGGTGCACGAGAGGTATTAGAATAATCACTATGCCAGAAAACGTTATCAGTGACACGACGATTCGTGACACAAAAACGAAACGCGTCACCAATAATCTATCCATGACGCGGGTTCACGAGACGCGTCACCGATTAGTTGTTGCCCATGCCCCAGGAGCAAGACGCGTCACTAATAACGATGTATTCGTGACGCGCGTTAACAAAACGCGTCACAGATAAGGCATGTGACGCGTTTTTGCTGGACGCGTCACCAATAGGAAAGCATATCCGTGACACTTCTCGATAACACGAGTCACAGATAATAAATGTGACGCGTGTTCTAAAGACGCGTCACTGAGTTGTGGCCGGGGACACATCTACAACACCGATCTTAACTCATGTTTATTGGCTTCGTCCCCTAAAAAAAATGTCCCGGTCGAAATAAAAAACGCGTGGAGCTCCGACCGCCGACCGCCGCCGTCAACCTGCAGCTCCGGCCGGTGCCCTGTGGAGTCCCCACACCACGGCACCTACAGCTCCGGCCGGAGGCAGCCCCCACCCCACCCCGGTGGACTCCAAATCCCGGCGCGTCTAGAGCTCCGGCAGTCGCCGCGCGCCGCGCGCCCACCTCGGCTCCTCCAGCTCCGGCCGTCGCGGCCGCCCATCTCGGCACCTGCATCTCCGGCCAGAGCCCCCCACCTCTGCGCCACCCCATCACTCGAGCCCAGGCCCCGGCGGTCACGTGTCGTCGGCGGCCTCCAGGGCGCAGCATCGTCGGACCAGATCGAGCACGGCCGTCTTCGTGTCAGCAAGGGCGAGATTCGCTCGCGTCCATCGCCCACCTCGAGCAGAGGTACAGCATCGCTCACTTCTTTTCCCTTTTTCCCTTCGGCTGTGTTCTTGATTGTGCGAGAAATGGATCCGGTGCTGTCATGTGGAAGCGTCCAGAGAGTCTGTAACTGTCAATTGACAGCAATCTGTAGTGTACACACTATTGCTCGGATGCAAAATTATCTCTAGTGTCAGGTACAGGTACTATTGCTTATCTCTAGTGTCAATTGAAGCTTGACACAAAAAAAAATAGTGTCAATTGAATCCCCACTATTGCTGGTCTCCTGGAATTAACTTTGAGATGCAGGCTTGTTTGGATGGAATCATGGAAGCGTGGCTAGCTAGACAGTAGTAGACTTGTGCAATATCCATCCATCCAATGATTCAAAAAGTTCAAAACTGCTACTTAGAATTGATGTTAAATTGAAATAGCTTCGCAGTCTAAAATGTGTTGCCTACGTGGCTCCCAGAAAAAGAATTATGGGAAGACATCTGCATGTTCTTTCTTGTTTCTGGCAAACAAACACTGACTGCTACTAATAGGTAGTCTACTTTGTCAGGCAAAATTATCAGGTCCCGTTATGTTCCATTGTTTCTCTGCTACAAACGTGGAATTAGTCCAAAACTAAACTAACCAAAGACAGATTTCAGTTTCTGTTATATATATGCCTATGATTATATATATGAGGTTCCTAATGTTTCTCTGCTATGGTCAAATAACCAATACTGCCAGACAGTACTTAGCAGCAAAATTTCTTGAGGTCGTGCCTATACTAAACCAGTTACTCGAATGCTTGTGTGTTCAGATTAATAATATCCGATATGCTTGATTTCTGCAGGGAGCAAAGCATCAGATACTCGAGGAATAGCAAAGCCTGATTCCTGACAACTACGTTTGTTCCAAGCTGCAAATGCTTTACTGCTTGAAATAATCAATGGAGGATAGGAGTGCTGAACACCACTAGCCAAGAAGTCTACTAGTCGGAGGAAGCTGCTACTGTCCAAGTAGGTATTTTCTGCTGATTTAGCATCTTCCCAATTGGGTCCTCACGGTGTATTATTGGTTGTTGGATTGAGACATAGTGGGATTGCAAACATAAAGTCTAAAATTTAGTATTTTTTGGATTATTTTTGTTGGGATGGATTGGACTGATGCCGTGAGGGACTGGTTAAAATTCCAGCAGTTTTGGTTTTGAAAATTTCATTGCAAAATAGACAGTACGTGTGCTCTCTGTTCAGTTTAATGCATAATATTTTTCTATCAGTGGTATACAGCTTAGTACCCTGTTCTAGCTAGTTGTTGTCTTCTTTGGCTGTTAGTTCAATATCAGGTCTGACTGAACTCACATAGCCAAGCTAAGCTCTACTTCAGTGCAACTTGTTTTTCATAGAGCTTTGGCTAGTCATATCTTTTTCTTTGGAGTGTCACACTGATGCAATAGTAAATTTACTATTCAAGTAATTTATAGGATTTTCATGCAAGGATTAGTTGATTTCATTTGTTTTCATACTTTTGTAGATATGGAGGATCGGAGCTGGATGTCTCTTCGCAACCGTGCATGTGCTCAGTACTTAGATGGTCTGAAATTATTCATAAGAGCTGCAGAGGCGGATATGTTGAATCGGCACAAGACAACTATGTGGTGTCCATGCATTGATTGTGAGAATAAGAAGCAGTTCTCGAGTTCATTAACACTCCATGCCCACCTGATCCTCTGAGGATTCATGGATCACTACAGATGTTGGAACAAGCATGGAGAAGGAGTTAATGATCGAGACTTGCAAGCTGGTTGTATGGACCAAGGATTCTCTGGTGACCTACGTCAGGATGATGGAACTCATGGTGCTGGTCAGGACAACGAGGAAGGACCCTTTTGCATCCCGGATCTCACCGATGACAAGCTAGTAGATATCAGTGCCAATTATGCCCAGAAGTCACAGGACCTTGAGGAAATGGTGCGTGATGCCATGGGCTTTGATGAGTACACTGAGGCGGAGATGAAGAAGCTGAAGAGGTTGATGGCAGACATGAGGACTCCTCTCCATCAGAGCTGCAAGGCAAAGTATTCAAAGTTGTTTGCTACTCTCACGCTTCTCTAGTTGAAGGCGACATATCATTGGACTGACCGGAGCTTCGATGCATTGCTACATCGATTAGAGGACATGTTGCCTAAGGGGAATGAGTTACCCAAGACCACATATGAGGCCAAGCAGATTGTTTGCCCTATGGGATTGGAGGTTGAGAAAATCGATGCCTGCAAGAATGACTGTATACTGTACCATGGTAAAGAAAACGAAAAACTGACCGAATGCCCCGAGTGTGGAGTCTCTCGATACAAACGAAGAAATGACGGGGGTGATGAGGACAAGAGGCATGGAGCTCCTTGGAAGGTGGTATGGTACTTCCCTATAATCCCTCGCCTGAAGCGTTTGTTTGCAACTGCCAAGGACGCGCAGTTGTTGAGTTGGCACAAGGAGGGACGCAAGAATGATGGTTACCTACGGCATCCAGCAGATGCTATTCAGTGGCGCGTCATCGACTCCAAGTATGCATCTTTTAAAGATGAGCCAAGAAACATTCGCTTTGCACTGAGCACAGATGGCATGAACCCGTTCGGTAACAGGAGCAGCTCGCACAGTGTCTGGCCTATGTTGTTATCGATCTACAACATTCCATCATGGCTGTGTAACAGGAGGAAATACATGATGATGCCACTTTTGATCTCGGGTCCGCATCAGCCAGGGAATGACATCGACGTGTATCTGAGGCCGGTTGTCGATGAGCTCAAGACGCTCTGGTCAGACGGTGTCAAGGTATATGATGGGTTCAAGAGAGAGTCATTCAAGTTGCGTGCAATGGTGTTAACCAGCATCACCGATGTTCCGGGACACCGTTGCTTGTCTGGGCAGTCCAAAGGAGAGAAAGTTTGCTTTCAGTGCTTAGATGATACCGAGAGTCTTTTGCTGAACAACTCAAAGAAGAGGGTGTACATAAGACATCGCCGTTTCCTTAGCCGATCCCATCCTTACCGGCTCATGAAACGCCAGTTTGATGGCACAATTGAGAAGGGATCTGCTCCGAGGCATTTCACTGGGCACGATGTCTATGGCCAGGTAAAGGATGTCAATGTTACATTGGGGAAGAACAAAAAGAGTGCCCTTGGAAAGAGAAAGCGCAAGGAGGAAGAAGTCGCTGATAAGAGGTGGAAGAAGAAGTCCATTCTATGGGAGCTACCCTATTGGAAAGACTTAGCAGTTCGCCACAGCATCGATGTCATGCATGTGACAAAGAATGTTTGTGGGAGCTTACTTGGAACACTCTTGAACACCAAGGGGAAAAGCAAGGACCATGCAAATGCACGAGCGGACATGAAAGATTTGGATATCAGGCCCGAGTTGTGTCCCGAGGGCCCCAGTGCCCAGCTACCATTATGTGCCATAAATCTAACTAAGGAAGAGAGGCAGGAGCTGTGCGACTTCTTCCGTAGCGTGAAAGTTCCCTCCGGATACTCAGCGGACATCAGGAAGCTCGTGGCGCCAAAAGAGAACAAAATGCTCCCAATGAAGGCGCACGATTGCGATGTCATGCTCACAACAATGCTTGCGGTTGGAATCGGGAACATTTTGCCAGAAAAAGTCCGAATGGCAATCATGAGCCTATGCTTCTTCTTCAATGCAATATCTCAGAAGGTTCTTGATGAGAGGTCACTGGACAATCTTGAGAAGAAGCTTTTCCAGACAATGTCTCTTCTAGAGGCGTACTTCCCACCGGCATTCTTTGATATATCTGTTCATCTCATTGCTCATCTGGTCAAGGAAATAAAGTATCTTGGTCCCGTGTTCCTGCATCATATGTACCCGTACGAGAGATTCATGAGCACTTTGAACCGGTATACAAAGAGTCGGGTTCATCCTGAAGGAAGCATGGTCCAGGGTTACTCTGCTGAGGAGGTGGTTGATTGGTGCCTTGGTTACATTGATCCTACAAATCCAATTGGCTTATATAAGTCTCCCCATGAGGGAAGGCTAGCGGGGATAGGGACTCTTGGGAAGAAGACACTTAATCCAGATCCGGATGATTACCAGCGGGCTCACTTTCTCGTGTTGGTACACACACTAGAAGTGTCTCCTTATATCGAGGAGCATAAGGAGCAGTTGCGTCAAGAGAATCCAGGTCGGAGCGAAGCATGGATAGGGAGGGCACATATGAAGGGATTCAACATTTGGTTCAAAAACCGGATCCTCAGTTTAAGCTCTTGCACAGATGAAGGGCTTCGGAACCTAGCAGAAGGCCCTTTGTTCACAATCACAAGTTATCAGGGATATGACATAAATGGATACACATTTTACACCTTGGCTCAAGACCAGAAAAGTGTGTACCAAAATAGTGGTGTTCGTGTAGTTGCTTTGGACAACACTGACGTACAGAAGGATGCATACTATGGTCAGATAGAGGAGATCTGAGAGCTAACTTATCCTGGGGTCAAGGAGCCCTTCAAGGTGACTGTTTTTCGGTGCCGTTGGGTTAAGGGCACAAGGGGCATCAACAAGGACAGATATGGATTCACTACCATTGATTTTGAACAGGTTGGGTACAAGGATGAACCATTCGTACTTGCAGCTCAGGTTTCACAAGTCTTTTATGTGCTCGACGCGCAAAACAAGAAATGCCTTGTAGTTCTCCCCGGTAAAAAACGGGTTGTCGGAGTTGAAGATGCTGTGGAGGAGGAAGAGTACAATCAATTTGATGAAGTCCCTCCTTTTGGTGATTGGACCCTCCCTATGATTCTCGAGAGTGAGGAAACTTCATACTTACGACATGGTCATGTAGAAGAGGCCACCGTTGCAAAAGGCCGCCGAAACCGGCAAGTACGCAAGAGAAAGTAATGCTTATCTGTTGAAGGTACGCAAGAGATATTACAGTGTTAGGTTCTCAAAAAAGTAATGCTTATCTGAACTAGTCACTTGCACCAAAATATGTATGTTGGATAATTCACAAAAAAGGTGTTTGATTGTACTGGCATGCTTGCACTTCTGTAGGTGCTTTGCAAATGCTGAGGAAACTCCATACTTGCAAATGGATATTTGTGGTGCTTTGCATATCGAGGTTCAGTGCTCTCCTTTCAGTAGAGCAGAGGTAGAAACACTGTTCTTTTTTACATCTAAGCATAATGTTTGCAATATTATTCATAAATATTTATTGGTGTAATTAGCAGGTATGTAAGATCCTTCAGTATATTGAGGCTTACCAGGAAGAACACAAGCTTGGTCCAATGCCAATCATCTTTTGTGGGTCTATACAGTGTGCACAGTAATTTATAATAAGGTAACAAGAAGAATATCTTTGCTATTTTAATTGTTCAAAATAGCAGTACTGGAAGACCGAACTGTATGTTTACAACTCTGGTAAGTATCTCCATCCTTGGTCTGTCCGTAATTCATATACGAGCGTAGTAGGTTCAGTCACAGTGATACTTAAATGATGAAATCAGTGAAACTTCGTGATGCTAACAGATGAAATGAAATATGAAACTACTTAGTCACTGCATCTATTTCGAGTGATTCGCATGACCAATTTGGGTTTCTGTAGCTTTATTAGTTCACGTTATGTTTTATTGAAGCACAGTTAGCATTTCGTTGTTCTTGCTGTCAGGGATACTTCTGAATTTGCTATGGTTTGATGATCTGAACGGACGTCCTCTGCACTCTGCAGGGGTGTACAAGCCGGCTGAGCTATGGCAGGCGAAGGAGCATCAGCCGCCTTCCAAGAAACGCAGCTGCACGATGGTGTTCACGATCAAGGAGATGGAAGAGGCCACCAACATGTTCAGCGATCGCAACCTCGACGGCAAGGGCGGCTTCGGCCGGGTTTACAGAGGCGTCCTCAAGGATGGCCAGGTGCTTGCTTGCTTGCTTTTCACCAATCGTTCTATTTTGTTTGGGCCGGAAACCAGCAGGCCCAAATTCAGTCCCCAAGTCCCCGCAGCCCCGTAGTCCCGCAGCCCCGCATCTCTCCCGTGCGCCGCCGCATCCGCAGCCCCGCATCTCTCCCGTGCGCCGCCGCATCTCTCGGCGCGCCTCTCCTGTGCGCCACCGCCTCTCCCGCCCTCGACTCTCCCATTCGCGAGCAAGACGCAAGAGGACGCGCAGGGCAGCCGCAGCGGCTTTGCCGGCGGCGGGAAGAGTTGGGGCCCCGAGCTGGAGATCCACCGGTCACCACCCCCGTCACCCCGGCCTCCTCCTCGGTCATTTCAAGTTCCACATCAAAATGGTAAGCTATCACCACCCACAGTCATTTCAAGTGTTTAGCATATTTCTAGCATCTAAATTTGGTCTTCTGCAATTTGCTAAACCACATCTTTCTCGAATTTGATTGATAGGTGTCTTCCACGGATTCTTCATCAAGTGGTGACGACGAAGCGGGGACACAAACTGTTTCTGAGGAAGTAGAATCACCCATTGATGATGAGCAGCAGCAGTCTGTGCCTGAGCCTGTGCGCCGACCCAAAAAACCAAAGACAGCATCTAAGTGGCCTACTGACATGATCGAGGTCACAGAGATACATCCAGATGGGAAGCCAATTGAGGTGAAACAACAACGAAGATTGCGATTGCTTGCTCGTTTGATTGCTAGACAACAGCTATCCTTAGTTATGCCATCATTCAAAAACCTTACTGATGAGAGGAAATGGGAATTGTTTAATAAACATGTCATGCCCTACTTGAAGTTCCCAGATACAATGAAGACTGAGGGGCTTAAGTATATAATGAAGGTGATATCTAAGAGTTGGAGAACCCACAAAAACAGGCTAGTGACCGATTTTATCGAGAAAAACCTCAGTCCCTTTCAGAAGCACCCCTACATTCAACCTGAAGATTGGGCAGAATTTGAGGTATTGAAGAAGTCCCGAGAAGAAATAGCGAAAAGTGAGAAATACAAAATGCTTCGGCAACAAAATGTGCACAACCATTGTCTGGGCTCTGCAGGGTATGATGGGAAAGAGAAAAAGTGGGAGGTGGAGGATGCAGAGTTAGTCAAGAAAGGCATCCCTAACCCATGGGATGACTACCCTGAAGGCCGCCCTGTGAGGTTTCTACGAGCAAGGAGTAAGCTTGAGGTATCAGAAGATAAAGCTGAGATCATCTGGAAATAGGATTCAACACAAAAAATCTCTGAAGACATTAAAGAGAAGCAATCAGCCGCAGAATCTTCAGGCGTCACTTGGGTCAGGGAGAATGATGTGCTAACTGCATGTTTGGGCCCTGAACAGCCAGGCTGCGTGCGCGCTGTTTCAAGTTACACTGGCTGGAAGCATGGTTGGCCTGGGTGTTCTGGCATGTACAGAAAAAGAAAGAGGTCTGGTGCAGTAGATGTGGATGTGCAAGCGATAGCAGCTCAAGTTAGAGAAGAAGTTACAGCTCAAGTCACACAAGAAGTGACGGCTAAGGTCACGAAAGAGGTTACCAGCAAGGTCACACAGGATGTCATGTCCTATCTTGCAGACCAAGGCTTGTTGGTAAGACCACCATCTTCTAGGACCCCTAGTCCTGCCTGCGGATGAAGGAGCAGTTGTGCATCTGCCTCCAACGCTGTTCCAAACGACTTGGAGTTGGGGCCCAGTTCAGTTGCTCCAGATACTATTGATCTTCTTGAAGAGCCAACCCAATGTTCCTTGGTAGTGAACCTTGGAAACTATCGACCTGTGGTTGCAGAGGGTCGGGTGTTCCCAAAGGAGTTTGTGCTAGAATCAGTCCAAATAGATTATGATTATGCAATAGTCCAAGTGGAATGTGTACATCAGGGTTATGAGGATTATGTGCTGCAGCCGCCCCCTAATGATGATATCAAAACACTTAGAGAAGCTCTACTACAGAGGATACTGTGGAGAAGGGATTGGATTCTAGTGAAACAAACACATGAGACCCAGCCAGCCCAATCTCAACCAGATGAGACCACAAAGAGTGCCAAGAGTGTTTCGAAGGGCACTAATGCTATTATTTCTACAAAGCTACTTTGTGGAGCCAATTCAACTCCTTCAAATCATCAATCTCCGGCCACATCTGATGCAACAAAGAGTGTGCCAAAGGAGCATAATACAGCCAACCCTTCAAAAAATCCAAACAGCTCAGAGAAGGAGTGCACTAAGCTGCCCACGCAGCCAAAAGTGGGAACTGAGGCTGTTGGAAGCGGTGCAAGGCCACCCAAGCAACCCAAAGGGGCTAGTAAGGCTGCTGGAGAGAGTGAAAAGGCAGCCACAAATAAAAAGTTGGCTAGTAAGGCTGTTGGACAGAGTCTAAAACAACCGCAGCAGCAAAAATGGATTGATAAGTACAAATGTGGCCACCCATTTCTCCCAGCAATGGACCTCAAGGCGGTAGGACCTGGATGTACTGCTCTTCATTCTCATTACATGAAAGATTGCGTCAACAATAAGCATGGGATAGTGGTTAGGTTCAGGGGTATTTATATGCTGAACTCATCAAATTTCGAAGTCAGGCTTGTGAGATACAATTTTCTGTATGACCTCTTCCAATTTGGGGCATTGGATGCCTCTCTTCTTCAATGCTGGATATTGTAAGTACCTCCAAACAAATCTGTGTTCTTTACTTTTGTTACCCCATGGTAGAAGAACAGAAATAAGGTCATAACTAAAATTTATAACAATCAGGCAAAGATAGATCCAAACTGTAGAGAGAGCGTCTGATTGGTTGGTGTGGGCCGCATGCTTCCTGGAGGCTGGAAATGGGAGCTCCGGCGAAGAGCGGCTGGGGAACCAAAGGCGTGGCACCTCTTTGATGGACTCATGCAGTACTTATTTCTGCGTTTTCTCTCGTAACTTAATCTATTATTATTATCGTGCCCTTGGTACATGGGTTGTGTAACTTGTGACTTATGCACTGTAAACTATAGGGTGCTTAAACTATAATCCTGTATTGATCGTTCATGTTAGCTATCAACGACTGTTTCCATTTTGAAGAAAAAAAATGCAAACTCAAATGATCATTTGTAATACTCCGTAGCTCACTGTTCAGGAACAAGGTACCTCTGCTGTTTTATGTATGTTGCCGCCTAGATGCTTGCAATTATGTAAGTGAAACGGAGGACTGCCTTTTTCACACTTTGGTAGCTGGACTAATTACGACTGAAGCCAAGTTTCCTTGTCCTTCACTTCCTCAATGAATTGAATGGGCACATCAAAATCGTATAAATCGCTGTAAACTGAGATAGCAGTGTCACGTTATGTGTGCACTGTGCAGAACTTCACCGGAAATTGATCCGTTCCTCGTCACTTTCCAGTGACCAGTGCAATCACGCCGGATGCGCTGCACACGTACGAGACTACGAGTCAGTTCCTACTCTGGTATAGTGGTACTCCCTCCGTAAAAATAAAATAATTATGACTTCCGACTCGGTCAAACTAGCTAAAATACTCTAAATATGCTCTTTCAACTCAACCTTTGCGTTGCTCTGTTAACTTCATGTTGAATTTGGTTTGGTTCACTGACTGTATTTTGATTATTGTCTGAGTGACGTTAAACTTCAATTTTCATGCTCTGCATCATGTGTATTCTAGCTGACCCAGATAAAATGCAATTAAGCTGGTTGAAGTAGCTGACCCAGATACATATGCTTGCAGTTCATCGGCTGTTATGTACTCATTTTCTCTAGGCATATCCCTTTTGGTTTATGTACTCATGTTGTCTACATGTTCTTTCTTATTTTTAGATCACTGGTTGTGGAAGCTAAGGCTAAGGACATTCATGTGGGCTTTCTAGATCCACAAGTGATGTCACTGGACAGCATAACATTTGATAGAGACAAAGTTCTGCAGTATGTACAAAAGGCCTTCACCAAGTATACCAAGAATGACTACATAATGTTTGCCTACAACTCTGGCGGCTTAGCTGGTGATCATTGGATCGTCGTGGTAATAATTCAAAAGTGGAATAAGGTCATATACCTTGATTCCAACAGATCTGAAAACCATGATTTCAGCGTGCTAAAACTGTTGATTGACGAGTGAGTTGTTTGCTTACCTACTATTGACTTGTTTCATAAGTGCCAATATCATTGAACCAACATAATGAGCCATATATATGTGTGTGTTGTACTCTTACATGTAGGGCTTTTGCAAGACACACAAACAAGCTGAAAGACAGACCACATCCATTGAAACACGCTTTTAAATATGCGGTAAGTGCTTCCAAAAATAAAAGTCAATATTGTGCCTCTAGTATATTAAGTACTGTGTTCAACTTCCATTTTCAAATTATTGTGTTCTATATATATTTGTCGCAGTGCCTTCAACAATCTTCTGCTAAGTCATCTGGCTGGTATGCTGCACACCACTTGTTTTTAGCTATGAGAAAGACAAACTTGGAATACTCTGAGGTATTCATATCTAAACTTTGGATGTGCAAATATAATGGCCCATGGTTGTTTGAGTGTGTGTGACTGTGTCATGTCCTAGTATAGTTTTTAGCCCATGGTACTTGTTCTGCTACCTGTCTTTTTCTATCTCAAGAGAAGATAAAAGGTGGAGGCTTTATTTGTATTGCTACCTGTCTTTTCGTTTTGGGGAGTGATCTGATGAGGGTGGAGGAGCAGGTGCCAGCTCTGTGCTTTTACAGCTGAACCTCCTTATGCTCCAGGTAGTTTAGTGATTGGATTAGGAGCATGCAGCTAGCTAACAGATTATTTTCTCTGATTGTTTATTTGTTTCCTAGCACTCGGATATAGTGTGGCCATTGTCGCAGTGGCCAGTTTGTGTTTCAATTTGAGTATCATTATTCGGTAATAGTGGCACTAGCCGATTGCTCATAGTCTTGATGAAAAAGTTTGTGTGGCCTCAGCATTCTGTCTTCAAATCAGTCTCAAGGAAACAGTCCTGCGTGTCCAGAAAAAAGTCTCAAGTAACAGTTGTATGTCAAACCTTAATGCGATTTCACTACATTTGTAGGCTATTCCCTTGATGTAGAAGAAAACTCTGCAGTTTCTTTTCAGTGGAAACATGCACAGTACTACTTTAGTCATAAGCTCGAATGCTCGATGATTTACGCTGCCTATATATTTTACTCAGTGATAGACATAGGCACAGCACCATCTGCTTGCTAATGAATTTCCACATCTGCGGGTGTTCCTATGTCCCTTGATTGTTTGCATCAAGCTTAGCAACTGTGATTTTTTACATTGATTGTCTATATTGTCCTGTACATTGTACTGTACCATGTTTTCTTTTTTACCAAAGTTCTATCTTGACACAGGAATTTGAAGTGTTGACGACGCCCATCGATATGCTCATGATTAGAGAAAAGCTAGCCAGGTTCTTAGTGGAACAAGTCATCGAGAAGAAAGGAGAGTTCCATCATGACCAGTGATGTGTGTTTGCCATTATCAGTGTGAGTCCAGTGATGTAGCGTGTGACTAAATAAATTAAGCCCATTGTTTAGATGGATTTCGAACAAGTTGTGATGGATTTTGAACAAGTTGTGAACATTTGATATAAATGTGAATCTGTTGAACTTGATGTCTATCTCGTGTGAACATATTACATATTGATGACTTATATATATTTCTTCTGTGAACGATGTGGGGTTCTAATGAGCAATGTGTACATTTGTTATATGCTATCAGTGACACATTAGACAGACATGAGTCACTGATATCAAATTATCAGTGACGCAAATCAGTGATGCATATTCTTAGTATGTGTCACTCATATATCCTTATTGGTGACGTGTGTTACCATAACGTGTCGCTGATATAGACTTATTAGTGACGCGGGTTCCCACAGCGTGTCGCTGATATGGATTTATCAGTGACGCGTATTCCCGTTTTCAGTGATGCGTATTCTGAATAAGCGTCACTCTATTTCCTTATCAGTGACGCGTCTTACAGTTATCGGTGACGCATGTTCGCGTTATCAGTGACTCGTGTTCTAAATATGCGTCACGGATAGTTTCCTATCAGTGACGCATTTTTACGCGTCACTAATGTGCCCTTATCACAGACGCAAGAATAGTGACGCGTGTTTTACGCGTCACTGATGACCCTCTACACGCGTCACTGATAAGGTTTTCTGGCATAGTGAATGTTTGTGAATATGTAGCCACGGCGAAGCCAGGGCACACTGACAACAATAATGCAAGCGTGATCTGGTTGGTTGTTAATTTTGCGGCAAGCGCGAGGCATGGGTTCATCATGGCTAGCCGTCATAATGCACCCCGGTTGGCTCATCACAGCTCTTAGACATAGCATGGCTCCGACGCCCCCACTGGCATGCTCTTGCACCTTCAAGACAACCGAGCTCATAGCCGTGAGTTCCTTGTACTCCATCTTTTCCGACAATGATCAACAGAGCAAAAACAAAAGCAATTAATAAACAATAATATGAATGTTGACAATAAAAAAACTAATAAAAAAACAAGTATGTTTAGTTTCTTAATTCAAATAAACTGTTTTAATGAAAACAATTAGCAGCAATTAATATCTTACCTATTATTGTTCATGTAAACTCAATCCCGTTTATTAAACAATAATATGAATGTTGACAATAAAAAAACTAATCCAAAACGCTAGTACTAGATCAAACCAATCCCTACCTAAAAACAAATAAATAGAGAGCTAAAACCAAGACATAGCCACTAAAAAATCATAGAATCTTATTCCCTACTAAATTCACCCTAATACCTTCAAAGATTTTGATATAATTCGATCCATAAGTTCCTCAATCACCATGGAAGAGAGACAAAATGAAAACCCTAACTACACACTAATCTACCGCTAAAACTTCAAGAACAGGCTTGGAATAGCATTTACTTAGTGTTGGATGTTTGGGCCAGGGGTACCCGCACCGCCTGTATATCCGGCCACGACCAGCTATCGGGCCAGAAGCCATGGCAAACGAGGCCCATGAGGGCTGAATGAAGCAACTGACTTGAAGATCAAGGCACGCTGAGAATATTCGGAGCCGGCATATCTGGAGGATAGCATAGGATCAATCCATACGCATTCCGCGTAACAAACTAAGAAACCAATATGTTAGCCGATCGCCCTCATTGTAACCCTACCCCCTCAGTCTATATAAGGGAGGGTTCGGACCTCGCAATCGGGATCCATCTCATTCCTTTCATCCCATCTACTATGTAGCTAGGAGCAACAACCCCTATAGTCGACCATACAAATACGAGAAGAGCATCATCACCCCCAACTAGACTAGGGCTAATAATATCACTACCAGCTTAGGCTATATCACTGTCGGATCAAGGTACAACCCCGGTAGTCATATTTTTGTATCACTAACAGGTTTTATATTGACAGGATATATAGTGTTATCTACCATTGGATCCGCCTAACATATCAATTGATCGACTATCCACCATTGGATATACCTATCACAACTAGTTCTAGTTATAGAACCAGCGTCCGGACGCCTCCACGGATAGAGGAGGTCCACTGCATGAGCTGGACACTAGTAGTTCCACAAATTGGTTCACCATTTGTGTCTAGTCTCAGTATCTGCTCTCTGTGGGAGAAAACTCTCCTCATACAGCTTTCGTTAGTAGTCAAGATGGTGCACGAGAGGTATTAGAATAATGTTTGTGAATATGTAGCCACGGCGAAGCCAGGGCACACTGACAACAATAATGCAAGCGTGATCTGGTTGGTTGTTAATTTTGCGGCAAGCCCGAGGCATGGGTTCATCATGGCTAGCAGTCATAATGCACCCCGGTTGGCTCATCACAGCTCGTAGACATAGCATGGCTCCGACGCCCCCACTGGCATGCTCTTGCACCTTCAAGACAACCGAGCTCATAGCTGAGTTCCTTGTACTTCATCTTTTCCGACAATGATCAACAAAGCAAAAACAAAAGACTAAGTGAGATGTAAGAATCATTAATAACCTAGAAGAATATAATTAGTATATACCAGTATAATTCTGGAACGTCATTCTTATTTGAAGTTATAGATTTGTTCAACCTTTTCAATCATGCTCTTATCCTTAAAAAAACATATACGCACTACATATTCTTCGTGCAAGAGAGAATAAACAACATAATTAACCAACTAATGTACTACTAAACAAGTATTTTTATTTTCTTAATTCAAATAAACAGTTTTAAAGAAAACAATTAGCACCAATTAATATCTTACCGATTATTGTTCATGTAAACTCAATCTCATTTATTAAACAATAATATGAATGTTGACAATAAAAAAACTAATCCAAAACGCTAGTTCTAGATCAAACCAATCCCGACCTAAAAACAAATAAATAGAGAGCTAAAACCAAGACATGGCCACTAATTCGATCTATAAGTTCCTCAATCACCATGGAAGAGAGGCAAAATGAAAACCCTACACTGGTAGAGAACCGAGCTTTACTCCCGGTGGGGAACCCCCTCTAGTCCCGGTTCCCCACCCGGGAGCAAGCATCCGGGACTAAAGGGGGGTCCTTTAGTCCCGGGTCAGGAACCGGGACTAAAGGAGGACCTTTAGTCCCGGTGGGTAACACCAACCGGGACTAAAGGTGCCTCCTGACATGCCACGATGGCCGGCACCTTTAGTCCCGGTTGGTAATACGAACCGGGACTAAAGGTTTTTTTCTTTTTTCTTTTCTTTTCATTTTTTTGTTTTCTTTTCAAAATAGGTTTTCGAAGTCGTATTGTACGCTGCTAATTATACATTTATACGCGCGTATAGTATGTTTCGGTTCAAGCACAATGAACGTATTAAATCACACAATTCAAGCATAGAAATATATATATATATATATGCATGCATGCATCATATATATATTTACATGCATGCATGCATATGTGTATTTTACATTATATTATTTCATGTGCATATATTACAAAAGATTGCATTACAGTTGTTGTGACATAACAAGTTTCCTCTCATCCTCTAGCTTGGCTTCAATGGCGGTGTTGGGTCAAGTAGAACTCATTTCTTGGAATCGATGACCTGCTCATTAAAAAATCTGGCTATAGACTCTTGAATTGCTTTGATTTGGTCTTGCCATATGACATTTTCCTCCAACCATCGAGTCTACAGTTTGAATTAAAGGAAAATAAATTAATATATGTACATATATATATAAAAGACATAGTAACACAATCAATAATAATAATTAAATGAATATATAGTGTATTTTTAACGTACTTTTAGTCTCTCTCAGAGGAGTTCTTTGGGAGAGCACCTTGATAAACTTGCAAACATAGTAACCACAGATAGTTGTTCCCCTGTTCTCGCCTCGAGACACCACTTTACGAGAAAAATTTGTCATCCAATCTGGTGATCCGTGAAAGCTATATGTTTAATTAATAAAGATGATGCGATTCTGTGGACTTACTTTCAAAGGGATTACATTTAGTGGCGCTTTGCATTTTTCCATGTGTTGCTTCTCAATAAAGGTTTTCCAAACACTGCCCAATAAAAAATTTGCCACGTCATCAGATATAGTTAATCATCATGTTTGTGTGTATATATAGTTGCTAGAGATCCCGAAATTACCTCTGGATAATATCTATCATAACTTGGTAGTCTTGTTGTGGTTTTCTCATCGAGTCATAGATTATCAAGTGACTTTTCACCAGATCGATGTCCATCAATATCCAGTGATTGCTGCATGTGTTTATAGGATATAACGCATAACACTCATTAATTAACTAGAATCAACATATGAGCCATTAAGGATGATCGACATGATTAACACTCACTTGAAGTTATAGGGAAAGAGTATATCCTTCTTGTGGCATTGGTTCACTAAGAAGTTCAT